TATGGCAACAAAAGTATCATCGGCAAGAGTAAGGTTTCACAAAGTACAACTATCGAGGATGATTGACGTAATTTGTGACACATGTACAGAAAGGTGCGGTTCTAATAAATAAAGAGGTACTAAATAGAACAAAAGGCAGCTCTTTTAAGAACCTCTCCTTGAGAAAATTGTACAAAGAGAACTTGAATATGCATTTAATCTCGAAGGAAATTTTCTGGGCAGGTTGAAAAGTGAGAACCTACAAAGAGAATCAGATACCTTAGCCACCATACTTAAGGCACATTGATAGCCAGTATCAAGTGCAATTTTAGTGATTAACATCCATTTTTTACTCATCATAATGAAGGCACTAATATTATCTCAAGGTACAGAAATAATTAATAAAAAGCAACATTAAGAATTGCAATCATCAAAAGATTGGGAACAATATGTTATATACAAATTTGAATAGTGAATAACTCTTTAACGTGAAGGTCTTCGAATACCAAGTGATATGATACTACAGTGGCCTGAATGTAGCAACTTGTAAGAATTTGAAACTTGGAAGATACTATAGAAAGCTAACCAAAATCACATTACTACCCAAACCAGCATAAAGCCCAACATTTTGGCATCAAAAATCAGCATTAATATAAGCTTATAAGTTATATCTACAAGTTGTATTAATGCATGTTCGGTTGCAGATTAGTAGATTGCAGCATGTTCGGTTGCAAATTAGTAGTTTGGAACAAACATGACGCCACATAGAAATTGGAAAGAAAAACCTTACATGTGAAGATATTAAAATAGAAAGTAATGTATTGTGGCATGAAGGTCCACATACAAATTGGAAAGAAACATGCAAACCAAAATTTAACATTGATCACGGAAGGGAGAAATACTGAAAAAAGTAATAATTAAACATGACATAAAACAGGCTGTTTCGAGAGGGTTGAATTCAAGTTGATATGAAATTCCTTACATGTGAATGCATTAATAATAATCACCACCTGTAATAATATCTTGTAATAATAATCACCACCTATAAATTGTCAAAAGACTTAAGTTTACAGCCATGCACTTCTAAAAGTACTTATAACTAACTTTATTGCTCCATACATGAGAAATATTATGTTAAAAGAGCACCAAAGAAACTCCCATCCTTATAACTAATATCGACATGATTACCACTTGTGCAAAAAACCAACTAATTAAAGACCAAAGCTATTCAAACTTCATCAGTATTAAACTACAGCAAAAGATAATAAAAATTATCAAGGGCAATGAAACAATACCAAATACCCCTTGCTGTAAACATCAAGACAAGGAGATGTTTGGTCCTCTGCTAGGATTGTTAAGAACAGGAAATGGACAAATAGATGCGAGACAAATCAACTAAACAAAAACCCACCAGCCTAACCAAGTGTAAAGACCATGAAAGGTTAAAGGTACATAATTTCTATTCTAGTATAATTTAAGTGATCAGCTAGCTTCTCTATTTATCCATCTACAACTATATTATTAAAGGAGTACACTCAGAAAGATAGATGTCATATTGTATCAAATATAAAAAAATTAAAAAAATATAAAATGGAAACCACTAAAATTAGAGTTCTTTAATATTCTACTGTATTCAGAATTCCTATACAAGTTTACAATCTTAATTTAATTAAATCCACGTATATATCCAACCATCAACAAATTCTGAAACCTGATTAAATAAACCATCAGTTAGAAACTTAAGCTCCTAAATTTTGGATGGAACATTTTCATAAAATGTAAAAGTGGCAAATATTTTTCTTTCCCCTTGAAGTTCTTTTTGAAAATGATGGTACTTAATTCTAATATTAGACCTAAAATGAGCAAAAAGGAATCACATAGGACCCTGTAAACATCTTGTCACCTCTCGCACAAGTTGATGTCAATAGCAGGTTGTTAGCGAGGTGAAGTAGCACTTTATAAATTGTATCAAATATTGGTGGCATGACTCGGCAAAGATTGCTATAGAGCAGTAACAATCAAAGTAGATGCATTCCCTATAACACCATAAGCAATATGCACTGAACAGAGCTCCAATTTCACCGAGGTGGAGAATTGTGAAAACGGCGAAGGAATTATGAAAAACTTCGCCGAGGTGGAGAATTGTAAAAACGGCGAAGAAATTGAGGAAGAAATTGAGAAAAACGTGAAGAATAAGCAAAACAGGCTCCACCGCACCAGGGTATGGTGTCTGCCATGTTTTGCTTATTCTTCACGTTTTTCTCAATTTCTTTCTCAATTCCTTCGCCGTTTTCACAACTCCGACCAAATTTAAGGCTTATATGGCGCCGGAGTCAAAATTTTATACCAATCTGATAAAACTAAAAGAAAATATACCAACATGTCACCAAGACTCTAAAAAATATACCAATCTGACCATTTTGCCGTATATTCTTCACTGATAGTATAAACGCTAGAGGAAGAGAATAGCAGACCTATACATTTCAACTCGCTTTATGGTTGGAGCTCAGGTAATGAAGAAATTTGTACTTTATTGACTAAGGCCAGGTAGCTTTATAGTAGAATCTTAATGCTATGAATTACTTAAAGCAAATCAATTATTAGATGTATACAACAATTTTTAATCATTTTCTAGGTTTTTGCTGACTTTGTGATAAGCTAATTATTGCATGAATTAAGTTAGATAAGTATCGGCAGTGTTCTAGATCTGGGTACTATATATCAAAATTTCAAAGAGATTAATGGGTATCATGTGTCATATGAGGGGATTTCCTCATATACAATGATGTTGCATAATTTTCACCAATTGAATAAAATAGAAGAGAGAATACCTCATAACTATACTAGTAGAGATTGTGTCACTAGTAGAGATTGTGTCTGCAAGTGGAAATGAGATGATAGTCGTGGAGTGCAGGTAATGAGAAACGTAATAAATGTCTGTTATCTCTGTATTTTATGTCGGGTTTAGGGGAAACTTTAATGGATCAGAGTGATTACTACTTTTGCCTGCCAAACTTCTATATTTAATTGCTCCCCCAGGCTCCTAGCTTCTACATTAAAACACCTCGTACTGAAAATTAATTATTATGAGGACAAAGAAAAAATACGGACAATATGTAGGGGAGCTTTGCGACCCAAAATATGGACCAATAGAGGGGACAAGTGAAGTGCCCCCTCCTATTGGATAATGAGTTGGCCATCATTAATGATGACCAACTCATTATCCAGTAGGAGGGGGACACATCACTTGTCCCCCCTATTGGTTCCATATTTTGGGTCCTTAAAGAGTTTTTCTATGTAGGGTAAAACAATCAGGAGAAAGGACAGCCCATGCCGTTAAACATGCGTTTAGAGGATGCTAACCGTTTGCTCTAGACACAAATCCTAAAATTTAATGATACAACAAAAACATTATTTAGGTGTACATTTAACGCTATGAACCCGGATATACTAAATACTTTTTTAACAATCACATCTACACTGTCCTCTCTTTTGTTTTTTGAAGGTTTTTTATTGAATATTTCTGGCTCGTGACCTTGTAGAGATTAGAATACAGTGATCTCTTAAATAATCATCTTATTTTTATTACAAAAACTTTTAAAAAAAAATTGAGATAGCAAGTTAGCAACCGATGGGCATCAGAGTACTTGTGCATTCTATTAATTTGCTATAAAAATGCAGAGTCACAGCAAGTACTTCACAAACATCTTCGGTTTTCAATCATTTTTAAATAAACACAAAACAAAATATCGATTGAAACCTCTTACAAATTTTTGATTCATTTGCCATTGAATTGGGATCATCTCCCAAACCAAAAAAAAAAAAATAGTGCATTAACTACTAATCATAATTGTTTCTTACTCTTCTCATCACTAAAATACCAGTAAAGAATATTCAAATCATGAACTTTCACTACAACTTTACAGTTTTGGTGTAATAGTTAGAAGGACTTTAAGATGGTACCTGAACGACCTAGGTTCAAATCTCACGCCATGAATTTAGAGCGGATTTTGTATAAATTGACACACCTGCAGATGTTAGAATATACAAATATAATTCTATTTGTGCGAATAAACCCACTCAGTATTGGCCTAATTGTAAATACACCCTCTTAGATGAACTTTCTTTTTGACTCGAGTCGAAAGGAAAAAAAATGGGGATCTATCTGCACAAATAGAACTATAAGATGTCTATCTGCCTTCTCAAAAACTTTTTGGTTATTCTAAGTCTACATAAATAAATAAATCAGGAGCCTATTTGCAATTGAGCGATATGAAGAGGTTCTATTCACAATTAACCCTTTCTTTAACTAGTAATTCTTTGACCCCGCTTAAGACTTTACCATTTATGATGAAGAAGGCATAAATAAACAATATAAATTATCAGAAAAAAATACATGCTCAAAACAATAATGATCTGCCTGTAACTCATAGCAAGTAATATAAGGTCATATCAATACTATGATAAGTGAAATTAGAATTTACTTCAGTTTCGCATGAAATACTTTCTGAGAAACGTCCAAATTCAAATCCCACAATCATAAATTTAAATCGAATTTTCTATAAATTGACATTACTGTGCATATTAAAATATAAAACTATAATTCTATTTGTGCAGATGGACCCACTTAGTATTAACACAAGTGTAAATACGCTCTCTTTCCGAAATTTTTTGACTAAGATAAAAAAGGGGAAAAAACATTTGGGAATCTATCCTCACAAATAGAACTATAAGGAGTCCATCTGCCTCCTTCTCAAAACTTTTTTCACTATTCTAAGTCTAAATAAATAAATAAATTAGGGGTCTATTTGCAATTGAGTGATACTAAGGGTTCTATTCACAATTAATCCTTTCCTTAACTAGTAATTCTTTTGACCCCCTTATGGCTTTACCATTTACCCTTGAAAACTGATGAACCAGGCAAAAATAAATACTATAAACTATCAGAAGAAATACACGCTCAAAACAATAATGACGTGCATGTAACTCTTAGCAAGTAATATAAGGCTACATCAGTACTATGACAAGTGAAATGAGAATTTACTTCTGTTTCGCATGAAATACTCACTGAGGAATGCCCAAATTCTCAGCAGAATAAATGATAGAGTACATTTTCATGTGAATTGAAATATATTGTTGGCTATAAACATGAAATTTCAATAATGAAAGTTATATTACCAACAGCTACTACAATCTTTGCACACTGTACCGGCTTGAAATTCTACAGTTTCCAGTAAATACCCAAGCAATGTAAAATCCCTGCAACCAGTGCCCAGAATAATATTTCAGCGAAAATAACATACAAGAGAATGCCCACCCTTTCTGAGTGCCAAACGTTAATGAATATGTGCTTCCGAATCCAATAGACCTGAAACCAAAATCAAGTTCAATTAAAAAGCATGAAGCAAAAAATGAGAAATTTCGCAAACTTTGCCAACATCTTAAATGTATACTATAGATATGGAGTGAGAAGATACCAGAGTGTTATTTGGGCTCTCATAATACCATCCGTTGAAAAATCCTGCGAAAATGCCTGCAGCTGCCATTACATAGACTAACATAGCATTCTTGCCGATCCATTCCAGTGGTAGAAACAAATAGCACAATCCAATGATGTCAACCTGATTAGAACATAATATGTCAAATTCAAGGAGATGAGAGAGTTCTGAATGTATTTTCTCATTAAAATTGCATCCCTCGGTTTGTTTTATGAGTCAATTCGATACATCACATCATCAGTTTCGAACATCAGACCTTTTTCCCTTACCAAGATAGAGTTTGGATGTAGATCAGGATGTGAAGTTCAGAATTTTTTTATTTTTTTATTTTTTGTAAAAAGTTGAGTTGATTATTTCTCTTACAGTTGTATTATTTTGGACTTCAAAAGATTTTGGAGCTATATTGATATATGAAATCACCATTAATGTCCCAATTTTTTCTCATCAAGACAGAAAGATAGTCAAGTTGGCTATGTGCCATGAATATTTGGGTGGTTTCATGGTTTATGAATATGTACATAAATACCATGCACTTCCATGAGAGAGCAATACCCTATTGATATCCACTTCTCCATAAGGACATAAAAAGAGAAGGAAAGATGTGCACTCAGTCTAGGCAACAAATTCAACACTAGCAATTTCTAGATCTTAATTCATAAGATGAGAACCTTCATATTTGAATTAGGATAAACATATAGTAGCTTAGGCCTGGAAGGAGTTAAATCCTCTGTAATACAGGAGAATCATTTCTCTGTGAGGAACTGGTTCTATACATAAAGCCTATTGATAGGAATATGCAAAAGTGTCAATGATAGTCTTTGCTCGGGTCAAAATTTTGAAGTCAATGGGCTGCTCCGGCAGTAACACAAACATAGCTGAAGCTGTATAATTGCTTGTTTAGAGGAATTGCTGCATAAAAATAGCAAAACATCAGTGCATAACAGAGGGGAGAAAGGAGAAAAAAACACCTACAATAAAGAAAAAATTTGAAACTGCTAGCATATTGTTTAAAAAGAATTATCTCATAAGTCATAACAGATATGTGAAACTATGAAATATAGCAACTACATGAATATGAAGCTTATCAAGGTTCATTCAAATTGCTCCTTCACACGCACCATGTGAAAAATGCATAACAATTCCAAGAACGAGGAGACTTGCACCCATCGCAACCCACTGCTTTATTCTATCCAAATGACTCTAAAAGGAGGGGGAAAAGAAAGACAGAATGAGGGAAAATTTTCAGGAAAATTTATTTGTTTACACTGTTCTTGTTACCATCTCATAATAAAGGTGTTATGAAACTGATATTTACCTTCATATGAACAAGAACATGTCCAAAATGCACCCCGATTATTGTGCTCAGAATAGCAGATATCGAACTGCAATAAATTCAGACGTAAGCATAATGCAAAAAAAAAGTGATGCCAATAGCCAAACTTGAATTTCATATAATATTTAACAAAAATAAAACAACTCAGAAAAAAATCACATGTTCCTGAGAGATATCGTGAGTATTTCCTCAATAGGAATGGGCATATAATCTGGTTTCTTATCACCACACACCGTAGAAAAGGCATCTTCATCAACATAATGGTACAGTATATACACTTTGATGCATATGAAATGGTAAGTTTATTTACCATAAAAAGAGGAAATTTTGTGGGAAATGTCTAGGACCAATGACAACAACGATGATGATTATGGACAAAGATTGGAAAGGTTGTTGGGTAAATATGTTCAGAACCATGGCTCAAAAAGGCTAAATCCTTTTGAGACGATGTCTTTCCTAACATTTTAACCGAAGCCATTCTCATCACTGGTCTTTAGAACCTACCAATATGAATTTTAAACCTCAATTTAGCATGACAGACCTTAGTATTCCTTCCGGTTCAAATGGTCCATGACACCATGAGGGAGCATCCTTCCTAAATGGACCCGCATGAGGGGAATCATAAGTGCAAGCCTGCAATGCTTTAAAAATGCAAAATATCACCAACTATTCTAAAAATTAGTTAGTAAATACATGTATGAATACTTCCAGAAAAAACAAATACATGTATGAAGTATTCATGTGATTGCCGTAAGTTTATTGTAATATCACCTTAGATCTCTTCCAAGCAGGATGTTGGTACATGTGATTGATTCCTAGCACTTGGCGATCAATATATCCCACAGCATTGCAAGGAGGATCCAATCGCCCCCTAGTACCACATTTAACCTAAAATAATAGGGTTTAATTATGTCATTTATTTGTATATACTTTGAAGCCAAAAAGAAGGTCCCCTAGACACTGAGATGCATACGGATGCATGTGCTACTAGATTTTCAGTTCTAGATTATCAAATAACATAATTCTCATGTGGTATTCATATAGCTATGATTACAGGGTTGAGACAAGCAGAAGTCACCATTGACCTCCTGCCATGTTTCTTGAGGAGCTTTGTTCACTATGTAACTCTAGTCTTATGACATGATTGTACCGGTTAAGTACAAGTAGTGCTGGAAATGAATACCACAGTATTCAAATTTGTATTCATTTATAATTTCCAAATACAAATACAAATTTGTATACAAATTTGTGTATCATTCTCTAAATTTCTTTGAATTCGAATAAGAATAAATTTTGAATATTCGCAAATATTTATCGAATATTACAATATGTTATTTGATTACCAATCTATAGTTCATGAATATTAAACTATGTAACTAAAAAGATAATTTTATTTGATTAAAGAAATTTGGTTAAAAATTGACTTAGGGCTCTTTAAGTTAGGCAAAATTAGCATAGAACTTAAATTACAAAATGTAAATGGGTCAAATGAATGGAACTCTAAATGAATATCTGATAATCAAATGAATTGAATATACATCTTGTTAAATTCTATTCATTTATGAACCAAATACTCAAACTATTTATTTATTGTTTAATGAACTGCCGACGCAAATATAAACAAATAGTCACAAACAATTAACAGACTATTTTTTAATTTGGTTCTTTTCCACCCCTAAGTACAATGTTAGGCAAAAGCTTCCTGGCACTTACAGAATTGATGTATATTTAATGGAGCTGATTATATTGAAAACTGGTAGTTGGTCACCAGTCACCAATTTTGCTAGAGAAAGTGTTTATTCATCTAAATTGTATCAGTAGCCAATAAGGAAAAGGGCTAATAACAATAGCAAGGTGCAGATCCACATAGTTTGAATTTTTTTTTGTAACTGAAACCCAATAAGGAACCCACTTGATCTAGGAAAAAAATGAGTTAGTTCTACCATTCATTCCTCTTTGTTCACTGTCAACCTTGTAGGATTCTCTTACAACCTATAGGTCTAAAATTTACACTTAATAGATATCTAGAACATCCAAGACTGAACAAAAGGATTCCTATGACAAGACAGCTGAATCCTGAATGACTGGAACCAAATCAAAGAACGGATATAACAAATGATGGATCATTACCGACTCGAAATTTGAAGTTTATGAAGATATGTAAATCTCCATGCATGTAACATCCTAAATTGCCCTTGGCATAAGTACACAAATGTACATTATGCTAAAGATAGTATCATTGGATAAGAATTGGCTGGGAAAAACCTGTCCAATTTAAATATAGTTTCTATTGAGAACTCTACACGTTCTTTGTGCTATTATAATAGTAGACTCAGTACTATCTCCAGTTAAATAAGAATTTCATATCAAAACTGAATTAGTTAACTATATAAACTAAATGTTCTGGTAGCGTATAAATATCGAAAGAAGTCAAGTCACTAACAACAGTAAAAACCAGTTAATATAATACAAAAATCTAGTTTCATGGATAAGAGCGAACATACTTACAGCAAAAACTTTTCCGTAATCGCGACTGTCAATGTCCTTTACTGTATAGACCCAGTCAGGGACATAGGTCGTATAAATCACTATCAGGTAGATCCCTAGAATACAGATTCCTAGCAACCTGATAATGGGAAGAAGATGGAAAATATTCACTAATTTTGATTCAAAGGGTATATGATGAAATAATATATAACATTCACGACAAACAGTTCAAGTTAACCGCTAAATCAACAAATGAATGATCTATCACTTCATATATATTTGACTGTCTATGACTCCATCACTTAGTACCTGGTATTTAGCTGTTGAGAAATTTTTGTTTCTGGTTTTTATGATGATGAGAATATGTTATCAATTTCAAATATTTGTAGATCAAATAGTCTCAAACTGATTTGTCAAATAAGGAAAAAGGAAAAATATAATTGGTGGGTGTGCTTTCTAAAATTTTAGCAGTATTGATTATAAAATAGTCTTTTACACGATAGGTATATCATGGGCTACCTTGGATTTTTGATATTCCAAATGTTAAATAGGGAAAACATGATGCTTAATCTATGCGACTTGTTTCATTGCAAATATTGTCACTATCACATAAATACTTAAATTTTACCAATGGATTTTTCATGTTATTACTTTCATTTGGTAAGGATGGATGTTTTCTTGATGGAAGGTTTCTTGATTTTGCTCCCTTGTCCTTCTATTTTCTGGCAACTGCTTTCTCTTTTGACATGTTTGATGTTTGCGTGTAACTTTTGGAGCTTATATTGCTCAAGCAAATAACGTACAGTATTTTCTGTAGGGACCATAGTGCTGTTAGATGGGCAGCTAAGTTTTCTTTGGACCAGATATGAATATATAATTTTACTTCCCCAGAGGATTTCCATGAATACGGAAGTGGATACCAGATATTTTAACAGATAAATATGCAAGTCTTAAAAGTAATACAAATCCAGATAAGAGATGAAATAAGCTTACCATTGCCAACAATATAATTTAAAGATTGAGAGATGGTCAGGTGACTCAGTCACAACCTTCGCATTCTTTGTCAAAATTTCCAACAGTGATACTATCACATATGCAAGAGCAATGCGCTATATAGTCAAAGAACGGAACACCGATCAGAATTTTCCTCGGGTGATTTTCAGTGTAAAATTGACAAAATGAGTAAGATGGCTCACCTGCAGGATGCCACACCATCTTATATGTTTCATGTCAACTCCATATGTTAATTTATCTGGAGCATGTGAGTACCCACCTGCACACGCAAATAAATTTTCATAGAGAAAATCCTAGTAAAAAGAAAAGAAATCAAGCCTGAAGCAATTAGATCATTTAGCAGTAAACTTGTTTTACTTAAAAAAAAGTTAGAATAGATCATTTAGCAGTAAACTTGTTTTACTTAAAAAAAAGTTAGAATAGATCATTTAGCAGTAAACTTGTTTTACTTAAAAAAAAGTTAGAATTACTAATTATCATGTGCTGAAACACGTGAAATGAAATTTCTTCTGACATCGTCCTTTCTCAGGAATGTATGCTCACATGCCAAGCATGGCATGTATACAAATTAAATATCACAAAGATTGGGAAGTGATAATATTGACATACTAGGAACTAATAACAAATTATGGTTGAAATATGTTGGAAATAGAAGACACGACGAACCCAATGAATGAGTCAAAAGCATGTAGATGCTAATTCGTCGTATACATCCCATGAATCATCACAGATAACATTAAATACTTCACGAAAAATGAAATCATCCAATTTGAAATGCTTGACTCTTAGGAGATAAGAAGTGGTTGAAGCACAAAAAGCATGGATTTCATGAGTTTATTATTATTATTTTATACTCGAACAAAGCAAATAGAGTTATCTTACACAAGCAAATTATACGACTGGAACTGCACACAATTAAAGGTTAAGATGACGTACCCTGCATCAACAAATCCTGTAAAGACCACTTTCTTAATTATAACCAACCAATAGTTTCTAGACAGCTGTGACTCATTCGTAGAATTGTTGGAATCAGGTGTAGACCAAACCTCGAGTAGGCGAGGTCGATGACGAGTTCGAGGCGTCCTTCAGGCGAGGTTGGGGCGGATGAGTGCAGCAGGCGAGCTCGAGTTGGGTCTGGCGAGCTCGAGCACGGGAGGAGCTCCAGGCGAGCTTATGCAGACGATGTCGACTCCAATCAGGCGAGGTCGAGTGCCCACGCCCGCAGGCGAGGTCGAGCTCAGTCTCTATAAAAGGTTTCTCTGGCTGCTGCTTCTCTCTCTCGCGATTTTCCCTCTGGCGGCGGCTCTCTCTCTCCTCTCTCGCGATCTCTCTTCTTTCTCATTCAGCTCACGAGATTTTGAGGAAGGGAATTAAAGAAGAGAGGGATTTATTGAGGGGAATTTATTAAAGAGGGAAAATCAACACTGTAGCTACAATGTTGACTTGTATTTTGAGAGATCTTAAGGTTAAGATCTGCTCTTGTATTGTAATTTCTTATTGATTAATAAGAAATTAATTGCGTGGCCCCCGAGGACGTAGGCAAGTTTGCCGAACCTTGTAAATTTTGGTGTGCTTTTTTCTATACTATGTTTTTCACTGTTAAAGGGGTTTAGTGTAGCCCCGGGTATTCCCCAACAACTGATATCAGAGTCTGAAACGATTTAGAGGAAGTCAGATTCAAGTGGGAGCGATGACCGTAGATAAAAAAAATGTGAGATTAAAGAAGTTCGATGGAACATATTTCGAATTCTGGAAAATGTAAATAGAGGATTATCTGTATCGAAAAAATTTGTATCAACTTCTCTCGGGGAAGAAGCCAGATTCTATAAAGAAAGATGAGTGGAACCTTCTAGACAGACAAGCCCTTGGAATTATCAGATTGACGTTAACTTGTAATGTTACGTTCAATATTGCGAAGGAGAAGACCATGACAGGTCTTATGACAGCACTCTCAATATGTATGAGAATCCATCAGCCGCGAACAAAGTTTATTTGATGAGGCGGTTATTCAATCTGAGAATGGCGGAAGGCGCGTCAGTAGCACAACACCCCAATGAACTCAACACGATCATAACCCAATTGAGTTCAGTTAAAATTGAGTTTGATGAGGAAGTTTGAGCGTTGATCCTTTTGTGTTCCCTATCAGAAAACTGGAATGCTACAGTCACAACTGTGAGTACGTCGGGAAGTAACAACTTAAAGTTTGATGACATTCGTGATCTGATTCTCAGTGAGGAGATCCGACGGAGAGAGTCGGGTGAAGCTACAACCTTTTTAATATACATAAAGAGTCAAGAGGTAAAAATTTAACCAGAGAAAATGGATCAGAGGACAGGAGGTCCAAATCTAGGAATCCCAGCAGCTCGAAGGATATCGAGTGTTGAAAGTACAGGAAAATCGGGCACTACAAGAATTAGTGCAAGAGTACACAGAAGGAGTGAGAGACAAAGGCAGATGTAAATGTTGCTTCCACCTCAGGAGGAGATGATGCATTGATATGCTCTTTGGAGAGCAAAGAGGAGTCTTGGGTGTTGGACTTTGGAACATCATTTCATGCTACTTCTCAGAAAGAATTCCTCAAGAAGTATGTCTCCGAAAAATTTAGATATGTATACCTTGGTGATGATCAATCGTGTGCTATTTTGGGCAAAGATGTAGTGAAAATTAAGTTGAACGAGTCAGTATGAGAGCTGAAGGATGTCAGGCATATTCTCGATCTGAGAAAGAACTTAATATTCATAGGCCAGTTGGCTGGCGAAGGATACACCACGATCTTTCATGGAGATGATTGGAAGATCTCAAAAGACGCAATGATGATTGCCCGAGGTAAGAAAACTAGTACCATGTATATGACAACAAGTGCACGTTGTTTGATCTCAGTTACAGCAGGCAATGAGACTTCAAAGCTGTGGTACCAGAGACTCGGTCATATGAGTGAGAAGGGGATGAAGATCATGTACACAAAGGAAAAACTCCCAAGACTGCAGTCAATAGAGATGGACATGTGTGAAGAATGCATACTTAAAAAGTAAAAGAGAGTCAGCTTTCAGACAAGTGGCAGAACCCCCAGGAAAGAGAAGCTAGAGCTCGTTCACTCAGATATTTGGAGACTAACCACCACCGCGTCCATTGGTGGGAAACACTACTTCGTAACTTTTATCGATGATCACTCTTGGAAAGTATGGGTCTACTTTCTAAAGCATAAATCAGAAGTATTTGAGGCTTTTAGGAGATGAAAAGCCATAGTCGAGAATGAGACCGGTCTGAGAATAAAGAAGCTCATAACCGACAATGACGGTGAGTATGAAGACACATCATGTACACAAAGGAAAAACTCCCAAGCCTGCAGTCAATAGAGATGGACATGTGTGAAGAATGCATACTTAAAAAGTAAAAGAAAGTCAGCTTTCAGACAAGTGGCAGAACCCCCAGGAAAGAGAAGCTAGAGCTCGTTCACTCAGATATTTGGAGACTAACCACCACCGCGTCCATTGGTGGGAAACACTACTTCGTAACTTTTATCGATGATCACTCTTGGAAAGTATGAGTCTACTTTCTAAAGCATAAATCAGAAGTATTTGAGGCTTTTAGGAGATGAAAAGCCATAGTCGAGAATGAGACCGGTCTGAGAATAAAGAAGCTCATAACCGACAATGACGGTGAGTATGAAGACACCGGATTTAAGAAATTCTGCTATGAGCACGGGATCAGAATGTAGAGAATCGTGTCTGACACACCTCAGCAAAATGGTTAGCTGAGCGGATGAACATAACGTTGACAGAGAGAACTAAAAGCATTCGGATACAGTCAGGCCTACCGAAATAGTTCTGCACAGAAGCAGTCAACATAGCAGCTTACTTGATCAACCGAGGTCCATCGGTTCCATTGGAGTACAGAATACCAGAAGAGATATGGTGCAAAAAAGAGGTAAAACTCTCCCATCTCAAAGTTTTCGACTGTGTAGCTTATGTGCATATTAGTGATCAAAACAGGAATAAGCTTGATCCCAAGTCAAAAAAATACACTTTCATCGACTATGGTGAAGAAGAGTCCGACTATCGTATTTGGGACAACGAAAACAAAAAGGTGACCAAGAGCAGAGATGTGATATTCAACTAGAAGGTGATGTATAAGGACATGCATAATACAGATGACTCAAAAAATGAGTTAACATTTGTAGATGAAGATGATGTCCTGAGTAACCTTTCAGAAGAACCCAATGCAAAAGGTCCTCAGTCAGAAGAGTCTGTTGGACAGAACGGTGCGCAGGAGCCCGACGCATCAGCTCCGATATTAAGAAGATCTTCTTGACCTCTTGTGCCCAACAGGAGATATATGAACTGTCTGTTGTTGACAGATGGAGGGGAGCCTGAAAACTATGATGAAGCTTGTCAGAGTGGAGATGCGAACAAGTGGAAGTTTACCATAAAAAGAAGAGATGAAGTCTCTCATCTCAAACCAGACGTGCAACTAGCTGCGTTGCCCACGAGTAAGAAGACACTCCACAACAAATGAGTGTACCGGGTGAAAGAAGAGTAAGATGACTCTCCAGAAGATATAAAGCTCGGCTAGTTGTCAAAAGATTCTAGCAGAAAGAAGGAATTAACTACACCGATATTTTTGCTCCTGTGGTAAAGCTCAATACTATTAGGACAGTAATGAGTATTGTAGCAGTTGAAGAACTTCATCTCGAGCAGTTAGACGTGAAGACGGTGTTTCTTCACGGAGATCTAGAAGAGGAGATATACATGTACCAGCCAGAATGTTTCTCAAAAGAAAAGAAAAACCTGGTGTACAGACTCAAGAAGAGCTTGTATGACCTGAAACAAACCCCAAGGCAGTGGTACAGGAAGTTTGACAGTTTCATGCACAAGGAAGGTTTCCAGAAGTACAACGCCGACCACTGTTGCTACTTCAAAAGATATCAGTCCAGTTATATCATCTTACTGTTGTATGTTGAATCGTTGATGATATATTAGTTGCAGGTGCAGATATGGAGGATATTAGGAGTTTGAAGCAGTAACTGTCAAAGGAGTTTGAAGCAGCAACTGTCAAAGGAGTTTGACATGAAGAGAGATCTCTTGCAGTTATCTCAGACAGATTACATCAACCGTGTTTTACAGAGATTCAATATAGGTGACGCCAAGCCAGTCAGCACACTCTTGACCAGCCATTTTCGCCTATCAAATGATCAATCTTCACAGTCAGATGAAAAAAAAGAGAGTATAGCTAAGATTCCTTACACCTCAGTCATTGGAAGTTTGATGTACGCAATGGTCTGTACAAGACCAAACATTAGCCATGCAGTGAGAATGGTCAGCTGATTTATGTCGAATTCAGAAAAAACTCATTGGGAAGCGGTCAAGTGGATTCTGAGGTATCAACGAGGCACCACACATAAGTGTTTGTACTTTGGTAAGAGAGAGGTGGAAGTGCAATTGTACGTAGATGCAAACTTTGGAGGTGAAGTCGATCATCAAAGAAGCATCACCGGCTATGTGTTCACTGTCGGAACTATATATGTTAGTTAGATGTCACAGATACAGAAGATTATCACTTTATCAACTATAGAAGCTGAGTATGTAGCAGTAACTGAAGCCAGCAAAAAGATGATATGGCTTCAGGGTTTGTTAACAGAGTTAGAATTCAAACAGGAGAGGAATGTATTGCACAGTGATAGTCAGAGTGCGATACATTTGGTTAAAAATTTCGCATTTCACTTTAGAACGAAGCATATTGGGCTTCGGTACCACTTCATCAGATCCCTGTTGGAAGATAACGTGTTAAAACTGGAGAAGATTTTAGGAAGTAAGAATCCAGTAGATATGTTAACAAAGATGATGACCATTCAGAAACTGGAGTTGTGCGCAACTTTAGTTGGCCTTCATGCATAGGTGATGAGGGCGGAACCACACAGGAGAATGTGTTTGTTGAGATAGTCTGCTGACGATGGTTTGATCTCCAAGTGAGAGATTGTTAGAATCAGGTGTAGACCAAACCTCGAGCTAGAGAGGTCGATGGCGAGTTCGAGGCGTCCTTTAGACGAAGTTAGGGCGGACGAGTGCAGCAGGCGAGCTCGAGTTGGGTCTGGCGAGCTCGAGCGCGGGAGGAGCTCTAAGCGAGCTCGTGCAGGCGATGTCGACTCCAATCAGGCGAGGTTGAGCGCCCACGCCCGCAGGCGAGGTCTAACGCGCTAGCTTGTAGTTAGGGACTTAGGGTTCCCCTATAAAAGGGAACCCAGAGCCTCTTTCTCTGGCTACTTCTCTTTCTTGCGATTTTCCCTCTGGCGGCGGCTCTCTCTCTCTCCTCTCTCGAGATCTCTCTTCTTTCTCCTTCAGCTCACAAGATTTTGAGGAAGGGAATTAAAGAAGAGGGGAATTTATTAAAGAGGGGGAATCAACACTGTAGCTACAGTGTTGACTTGTATTTTGAGAGATCTCAAGTTTGAGATCTGTTTTTGTATTGTAATTTCTTGTTGATTAATAAGAAATTAATTGTGTGGCTCCCGAGGACGTAGGTAAGTTTGCCGAACCTCGTAAATCTTGGTGTATTTTTCTCTATACTGTGTTTTTCGCTATCAAAGGGGTTTAGCGTAGCCCCGGGTATTCCCCAACAAGAATAAGTAGCACCATTCAATCTTACTTTTTACTCAAGAAAAATCATAGTATTTTATGATGTAATTGATGATTATTATAATTGAGAGGATCCTAAATGGGCAAGCAATGTGATCCATCAAGAGAGCACTAAATCGAAGAATTTATTTTTGGAAAAAAGGAGATACTAGCATCCAAACCTTGCAATAGGATTCCCCAAAACAGCAACTTGAGAGTCCTAATCATCACTCTTTTTACAGCAAGAAGCCTGTTGGGTATCCTCTACAAAACAAAAGAGCAGCGTTTGAACAGAAGCGAATGATAAAATCAATTCTAACTCAACAATTCTACCTCCAAAATTCAAAACAGAAAAGATTTACTTTGAGAGACAAAGGGATAGCCATCCCCACGATAAACAAGAAAAAGGGCATCACGAAATCAGCAAGATTGCACCCATTCCACGGCGCGTGAGCTATCACCGGCCACTCGCCGCCTGCATCGTCCACCAGTATCATAATCTATAATTACCAACAGAACAAAACTCACAAAAATTACAAATTAAAAAAAAATTACTAAGAAGAAATTATTCAAAAAGAATTGGTGAAGGGAGTACAGCAACGGTGAGGCCACGGAAGATGTCGAGCGAGGCCACCCGCTTGGACTTCCTCTTGAGGTCTTCAGCATCAGCAATCTCGATGATCGGGCGGTTCTTAGGAGGTGGAGGATCCTCGATGGAGTGAGATGGACGGTGGAGATCTTGCTCGAAGCTCGCCATTCTGCTCCCTCCGCCTGATTGGTAAATGAGTGAAGCGTTTAATATTTGGAGCGAGCAATTGGCGGGCGGTGGAGTGCAAAGTTGGGGGAGTGGGAAGCTTGGGATCAAGAAGTATTCGGATAAGATTCTGTTTTCTTTCAATAAATTATTGGGAAAAGGTACGGGGCTGTTTGGTTCCCTGTTTGTGAGAGAGCCTGTTAAAAGTGTCAAATGTGTCAAAAGTATCACTTTTTGGCAGGCTTTTAGTCAAAATCGTCTTTAAAAAAGAAGATTTTGGCTGAAAGCCTGCCAAAATATGATACTTTTGGTACTTTTGGCAGGCTTTCAAAAGAGCATTTCCCTCAAAAACAGGGAACCAAACAGCCCCTAAAGGTTAGGCCAAATTGGTTTTCTGCAAGTCTGCAGCAGGTGAAAGATACCTCGATTTTTTTAAAACCCATTATCATCTAAGGGGCGTGTTTGTTTCAAAAAAAATTTGGCAATTGGTTGGGATTTTAAATTCTAGGAGCAAAAAGTGGGTTCTTTTGGGTTTTAGAATTCCATAAAACTTATTTGTTTCAAAACAAATTTTAGAATATCAAGTCCCCAAATAATAAAAAAAAAGTAATATATTTAAGGAATTGTGAAATCCTCTTTTTCGGGTGGAGTGGATTTCAAAAGTGTTAGACAAATTAAGGATTTCAAATTCTAAAAAGTTTGAAACCAACAAAAATATAACAAATTATAGTATTCTAAATCCCAAAATATTGTTGAAACAAACAAAGTTTTAGGATTCCCAACCCATAACAAATTACCTATGGATTTCAAATCCCATGGTAAAATCTATATCCTAAAATTATAAGATTTGAAACAAACACTCTATGAAAGAGGGGGGACACAGACGCAGCAACAAGACGTTAGAAGCAAAAAATCTTAGATGTACAAGAACCGATCTTTCACATTTAATTTAACACTGCTAAATATTCAACCAGCGGGTTTACATCAAGCACCAACCAAAGTCACATCAACCATGGACTCTTTAATTTCTAGATATTCAACTGTAGCATAAATATTAGTCTTGAACAATCGGAATCGGAAAGGAATAAATTCACAAATAGTTACGCCGGTTGCCCGGTTTTGTAACAAAACATTTTAAGATTTAACGGAAAGGAATAAATTCACAAATAGTTACGCCGGTTGCCCGGTTTTGTAACAAAACATTTTAAGATTTAACAGCAGCTAATAAGAGGAAGCAACGTTACGCCGGTTGCCCGGTTTTGTAACAAAACATTTTAAGATTTAACAGCAGCTAATAAGAGGAAGCAACGAAATTATGGCAATAAAAATGATTGGCTTTCTGCAAAACATCCGCTCCTATATAGAGGAAGCTCCTTGAACATGCTCTACACAGTACATGCATACCACGACAAGGAAACAAGCTAAACACCATTGTCCAGCATCATACTCTTCTTCACACTTCGTCTAATTAAGAAACAGAGAAAAGATGCCTCTTCACAAATTCGGCACTCTCTCTCTTCAATCTCAATCATTGTCCACGACCACGCCCGCCACCTGTTGATTGCCATTCAAAAAGAAGACCAAGCGTTAGTTCTCACTTCCTAAAAGCTCATCTACTTGTGAAAAATAGAACCAAGTAAACAATATGTTTACCCCAAGGAAATGTATGAAAGGGAATGCATACCTCTGCCGCTGCCACCTCGACCAACAGCTCCAGCTCTGCCACGACCACCA